GGACAGGAGGGGCAGGGCAAGCGAAAAGCCGTGGGTTGCATCCGTGCGGTGCCGGCGCCGGCAAAGGGCCGGCCGCTGTGGCGCGTGCGGAGCGCCTGCCAGCGCAAAAGGACAAGATAAAAATGTTTCGTATGTCTGGACGCTCCGAGAGTGGTGGGGGGTAATAGAGGGCCGGATTTTGGTGGGAGGTTTCTGCATGGTTCTTTCTTTCTTTCTTTTCCCCCGGGGGAGCCCCGAGAGGGCAATCCACCGCGGGGGTGCACATGTGCCCGCGCGTGTGCACATCAAGGCACGAGGGCCACCGCAGAACTGCCCGGGGTCGGGGACGCGCCGGGCCCTCACATTAACACTTGTCCGGGCGCGGGGGCGGGCGAGAGAGAGAGAGAGAGAGAGAGAGGGCACCTCGCCGCTGTCGGCCGGACGATCGGTCATGTCAATTCCTGGCACTGGCAGATGCCTAGGCGGAGGTGGGCTTGTGTGTGTGTGGTTATGCATGCGCGCTAGTTTCGGCCAACAGAGTGCCAGCTGGGGGGGGGGGGGCGGTTGTGCTCCCCGGGCCTTCTTCGGGCGCCGCGACCGGCCGCGACCATCGCGTATCCGGCGGCATCCCCTGTCCCGGGGGCCGGGCGCTGAGCCACAGGGCTTCGATGCTTTTCTCGTGCCGGGACATTCGGTTTCCGGGCTGGGGACCCCGGGGGAGGCACAGAGCGGCTCAGCCGGCCCCTCGCGCGGCATGGGACCGCCCGAGTGGGGGCGCAAAAAGGAAAAAGACGAAAGATCGGCAACCAAGGGTCCCCTCCCCCCCCCCGCCCCCTCCGGTCTGCCACGTATTCCACGGCATGCGGGGGGGGGCCTGGGGGGAGGGACGACGCCTGCGCTGGGCCCGTGTTTGCGCAACCTCCGCGGGGATCTCCACGCGCGCGCGCGCCAGCTCGGCGGCTGGCGCCTCGTCTCCCGAGGACTCGGCCCTCGCACCAGGACCAAGCGCGATCTCTGCGGGGTGGGCTTTTTCTCGCGCCCACGCCTGACCCGACCCCGGCGCCGGCTGTACCCTTCATCATCCCTCCTCCACCATACCTTCCCGCATCCCTCCCTCCCCTCTTTCCTGCCCTGCCCCCTCCTCCTCCTCCCCCCCCCCTCTGGACTCAATCACTGCCACCTCCCTTGCCCGTCTCCTTCCCTCGCGTGTGTCCGTGCGTGCGCGCGCGCTTGTGTGTCTGTGTGTGTGTGTATCTGTCGGGTGCTGGTTAATCCCCACCCTCCTCTTGCTGCGTCCCTACGCTCCTGCAGGCATGTCGGACAATTGCACCCTTGTCATGACTCTGACCGGGCTGCCAACCGAGCAGGCCCTTCAGCTGTTGGAGGTTCGTCCCCTCGACTTTCCCGCCCTTTTGCCTCTCTGGCCGCCGCCGCCTTCCCGGCTGCGACTAACCCGTCTCCCTCTGCCGGCGCAGATCAGCGGCGATGATGTCGACAGCGCGGTTTCCTTCTACTTCGACAATCCCGGCATGTTGTGCGTGTCTCCGCTGGGCTGTGCTGCGCGGCCCGGCCTCTCACTCTGGCCCCCATGGCCTTGCGCTGACTCCCCTTCTTTTGTGCATTCCCCCCGGCCGTTTCCCAGCTCGCATCCCAACAGCTCCGATTCCTCTTCCAATTCCCCGGTCCCCGTGGGCTTCGACGAGGACCAGGTCCGCGCGCCGCTGGCCCAGCGCCAGATTCGCCTCCAAGACAGCGCCGACTTCTATGGCTACGGCATGAGCTACGAGCCTCGATGTGCGCCATGCCTGCCTCGGCCATCTTCCCCCTTTGCCTGACAGGGCTGCTTGCTGACGCGCTCGAGTTCCGCCTGCCCTCCCGCCTTCCCCCTCGGCCTGTTCCCTGGATGCCAGACTCCCGGCAAGATCTCAGCAACTCTCTTCACACCTCGTCCTTCGCGGCGGCGGCCGCCTGCAGCCGGTCAAGCTCCCCCTCCAGCCCCTCCTCCGGATACCCGGACGGGGACATCCTGGACCGGCTGTTCCGCCGGCCAGCCTACATCTTCGGCGGGAGTCTGGACTCCGCGCGGCAGAGCGCCATCGCCTCGGACCGGTGGCTCATGGTGAATCTCCTGCGCACCGGGGACTTCCAGAGTGACTGTCAAAACCGCGACGTCTGGAACACGGCCGCCGTCACCGACCTGATTACCGAGCACTTTGTCATGATCCAGTATGGCTCGGACACGCCACTCGGTCGGTCATACGCCGAAATGTATCCCGTCCGGAATTATCCGTACATCGCCATCCTGGATCCGCGCACCGGGGCCATTGTCAAGTCGGTCGATCGTGTGGTCACCAAGGAGGAGGTCCTCCGTATGAGTGCGTCCCAATCGGCCGCCAGGGCCGGGCATGCCACCGCCCGCCCCCGGTGGCGTCAGCCCATGTCTGTTTCATCCTGTCTCTCATTTCTCCCGGCTGGCGGGCTGCCTGCCTGCCTGCCTGCCTGCCTGCCTGCCTGCCTGCCTGCCTGCCTGCCTTCCGGGTTGATACATGTGTCGGATTTGCTAACCCACCACGGGCCGGTCCCCGTAGTTCGGAGCTTCCTCCAGGAAAATGGCGACAACCTGTCGGCCGAGGAGCAGGAGCGCATCCGCTCCGGCCGCGCGGTCAGCACCATGGATGACGATGAGCAAATTCGCCTGGCGCTGATCACCTCGGCTCTGGAACAGGGCAGCGAGCTGACCGACGAGCAGCTGGAGCGCGAATTGGCCGTCATCAAGCAATCCAAACGCCCACGCCACTCTCCGGCCGCCGCTCCGGCCGTGGTGGACCTGTCGGTGGATTCCGATGACGATGGTGCTTCGGGTCTCGCCGGGTCGGGATCGCCCGGTGGGCCCGGACCGGATGCCGCGGCTGCGGCCGCCGGGTCTCCGCCGGCCGGTGTGGACGTCTCACCGGCCGAGCCGCCCCACCCGAGCCTTGGTGTGGCGGCTGCCGAGCGGGTCTACGACCCGAAGGCCCCGGGCAGCGCCCCGACGCGCTTGCGTCTTCGTCACCCCGGGGGTCAGGTGGTCTGCTCCTTCGATCGGAATGACCCGGTTCGCTCTTTGTACGCCCATGTCCGGGCCATCTGCGATGCCGCGGCCTTCCCCCATGGCTTCGAGATCTCGTCCACCCTGTCCGGGCTCGGGGACGAGGCCGGCACGGCCATTCCCTCAAGCCAGCGGCTGGATGATACCCTGGCCGATGTGGGCTTCGTCAATTGCATGCTCCATGTCATCCCGGTGGAGCTGGACTGAGCGCCCGATGGTGACACCCGGCTCGGCATCCCTCCTCCTCCTCCCCCCCCCCCCCACCTTCTCCCCCGCCCCCGTTTTGATGGAAAAGTGCTCGCTAGCCACGGGCCCCGGAGGGAGAGAAGCAAGGGCCGAGGGGCAACTCGTGCACCCAGCAGCCCGGGAAGTTCTGCCGAGTGGCAAGTCCCTTGGCCAGAGAAGGGCTCCGGGGAGAGCTCAGGGAACGAGGAGCATCAGCATGCTGCCTTTGCCTCTCCCTCTGTCTACCTTCCTCTTCTGTCTCTCCATCGTCTTCCCGCTCTTCCTCCTTTTTTTTCTTTCACACCAAGCCACAAAGGCATTCATGATGTTGCTCTTCCATCCTGAGCCCTGCGATGTCTCTCGTTCTCCAGCACGATCACACATGTGATCATATGATCGGCTGACCAGATATTCTCCAATGTACTTGACACTCGTTCTTCGGGACGGAGATGAAGATGAAAGCGGAGATGACCACGGAGCGGGGGGACGCCCGGGTCCGCCACCACAGCCCGGGTCCTGGTGGGGGGGGGGGGGGTATCTAAATTGCTGACCATTCGGGGAGAAGGAGGGAGAAGGAACTTCGATCGAGCGGGGCCCGGCGCGGCAACACAAGGGGACAGGAGGGAGGGGGCGGTCGCGAGCCACAGTTCTAGCAGGGTCCGCCACCGGAGTGGCATCTAGCCACGCACCACCCGATCGATCTCCGGGGGCGCTGGCACGTCTGAGCTTCCACGCAACTCCGCCCGATCCGAGTCCCTGCCCGGGGCGACCTCCCCATCTACCTCCTTCTCTCTCTCTCTCTCTCTCTCTCTCTCTCTCTCTCTCTCTCTCGCCCCCTCTTTCTCTCCCGTTCTGACTCGCTTCGGCTCTCTTGGGCGTCGTTGGACATCTCTCCGGCGAGCCGGCCCCGTGGTCTGCAGTTTGCAGCGGCCATCCTGTTCCGGGTAGACACTCAAACTTAGAGTGCCTCACGGCCGGGCCTTGTCAAAACCTGCCCCGCCGCAGCCCCGGGTCCTGAACAGCCCTCACATCCCTGTCCCTCC